GGGTCCAAGTCTCTACTCGGATTAATACTATCTTAAAACCCATTTATGAGCACTCTGCGTTTATATAGCACACCTTTAAGCTAAGTTTTTTAAAAACTCACTGTGTCCCAGACAGCAATATTTGAGTGATTTAGAAAAGATAAATTACTGTCTGGAAGATAAAAGTTGAGGGTCATAATTTAATTAATTTTAAGTCTTAGTAATACAGCACCATAAGTGTATTTTAGCACTGTTTGTCTGCTGTTGATCTAATTCATTTGTACCAGGAAACAGTGATGTGTGACGCCTGACTTAACACCCGGCTAATATCTTATGTCATTACTCTTGGTTATGTTTCCGTGCAGTTTGAAATAAAGTCATTGTGTATTTTATGTTCAACAGAAAAATACATTTGTGAAAGCTATGTGATATGATTGTATTGTGCAATTTTGAGATTTTAATCTGTGTCATTTTCAATGCAGGAAACCCGCTTGGGAAAGCTGATTAATGATGTGAGAAAGAAAACAAAAGATGAGGACCTTGCCAAACGTGCCAAGAAACTCCTGCGGAACTGGCAGAAGCTGATCGAGCCTGGCCAAAGTGACACTCCGGCGAGAGGAGTGCCAAACGTCCCGGGCTCTGCCAACGGAGGTGCTCACCCCTGCCGGACAGACGCCCCTCCAGTGGTCCCCCCTCCAAGCAAGGTTGCTCCTGAGCTTAAAACCAGGAATGACATCCATAACACGTACTCCCCAAAGGCGGAGAAATCCAGCAGCCGAAAGCGGCGGGGGGAGCCAAGGGATAGTCCGCATCTGCCGGCCAAAATGACAAAAACGTCCCTTTACGAGCCAATATATTCCCCTTCCCCTCCATCAAATGGAATTAGGGGAAGTCCCGAGCCACTTCCGGAGAAAGAGGATGACGCAGCGTCTGACAGGATCCGCCCGGAACACCTAGAGAATGACAGGCACAACAAAATCCCTGTCAATGCTGTGAAGCCTCATCCAAGCTCTCCGGGGCTTACCAAACTACCTAGCACTTCCTCCCTCCTCAAAACATCAGTGTTACAGCAGCATGCGAGAATGGACGGAGGCGGGCAGAATCAACCCAAAAGCCCTCGGTACTCCCCGAGTCCACGCAGCATAACACACGAGGCGATGGCAAAGAGGTCTTCAACATATGCACCAAAAGGGACTCTCTCGAGCCCGTCTCAGAATTCTGCCCAAGTGCCCTCTCCTTTGCCCACACTGCAGCCTTTAACGTCCCCGGCCCAGGTGTGCATCGGGGACGGTCCATCATCTGTGGGACTGGAAGGCTCCATGCACTTGCACAGATTGTCGGATAGAGTCTCCCAGTCTCCGCACAGCACTGCAAAACTGGAGCCGCTCTCCAGCTCCCCACTCACGGCACACATCTTAGAGGGCGCTGAGACCAAGGGTGAGCGGGAGGGGGCGACCTCCAACTTGGAGAGCAAAAAGAGGAAGAAATACAGACCCAGAGACTACACAGTAAATCTTCAGGGGCAGTCCTCGGAGGACCGGACCAAACCCGTGCGGTTAAAAGAGCGCAGGTTGACGTTCGACCCTGTGACCGGACAGATTAAGCCCCTCACTCCGAAGGAATCCCACCATGAGGAAGAGTGCCAAGCACCGCCGATTGAAACTCCCTCGGTGAGGACTGAGGTGCCGCAGCAAAAGACTCCTACGTCGGTTCCCAACCCCTTTCAGCAGACGAACTGGAAAGAGCTGTCCAGAAACGAAATCATTCAATCGTACCTTAATCTTCAGAGCAATGTTCTCACATCCTCTGGAGCACAGACCCATGGGGCGCACTTTTTCATGACTGAATATTTGAAAAGAGAGGAACACGATGTCAAAGAGCCTCGAAAAATGCACGTTTTAGTACAGAGCAGCTCCCCGAAAGAACTACCTGGGGTGACTCGGGACGTAACAAATGAGGACCTTCTCAGAATACACAAAGAGCACTGGCCTGGGGTGAACGGTTGCCATGACACCGAGGGAGCCTGGTTCGATTGGACAGAGTGCATATCATTGGATCCTCATGGCGATGAGAGCAAATTGAACATCTTGCCATATGTTTGCCTAGACTGAGAGAACAGGGTTTGGAAAAGCTTTCAATGTTCCCACTGTGAGTCAAAGGGGATCGAACCAACTCGCCTTGTCGCTCTGTGCGAGGTTCATCTGACAGGTGAAACGAACAAAACAACAGCAGTTGTTCCGAGTTCGGTTTTCCATAAGAAGGAGATGAAAAGATGTCCTGTTTGTAATGTGCTGCTACCAACAAGAATTTGCAAACAAGGGTTGTATATAATGGCTCGCAGGGATTTAACTGGGCCAGTTCTTGCACAGTGTGTGAATAAGAGGGTCCGAGCAAGCATTGAGCAGTACAGATATGTTTGAAAGCAAGTCGAGAACATTTTTTGGCAGTTACAAAAAGCTTTATGTGACAAAGAATAAATTATAAAAGTTTCTTATGTATGCATCTATTTATTTGACCATGGTTTCCTTTTTTTTTTCTTTTTTTTTTTTTTTCTAGAAGGTTATCCACTAAGATGTGCAGATATGTCTGAGGCTTTTTCTGTTCGCATCACACACTTGTCCCCTTATTTGTGATGTACACGAGGCATATATAAACACATTTTCCCCCACAGCGGCTCTCACGTACATGTGCAGATCGCAGTAGATACAGACATTCCATTCTGAGCTGAACATTTCTCGCTTCACATTTCTTTCTCGATTTATCTGAAATATGTGATTTTCATATGAGAGAAAAGCAATCTATTTTTTAGATGTGTTAACATTATTTTAAAGAAATCTGTTTGCCTAGATAATTGTAAAAAGACAAAAATATGGATAAATATGTCGAAAAAGAGAGAAGTATTCATGTGCTAGAAGAAAACGCAGTGAATGGCCACCGAGGGTGCTACTTTTCATCTTCATACTGTGAGGACAGAAAAGCAGGAAAATGTTAATATGCTGGAAATATACTTGTTACCATTCCTTTAGATATTGTTTGCCTTACTAAAACCATTCAACAATGACTTTATTTCAAGAGCCTTAGTGAATGTATGGCATTTAGACTTTTGTTTAGGTGGTACAGAAGGAAACACCTCTAGGCATCTGCCATATGGTCTTTTTTTCTCAAATGGACGCATTGTGCTATAAATGTGTCAATAAATATGCGCGTTATCCTGCTTGTCTGTACATAGTTCTTGCTATCCATGTAAAACCTTTCTAAGTCTTCATTTTTTTTAGTGTGAATGTAATTATTTTGGGAGGAAATGAAGCATTTGGAATGAAAGACCCAATCGTTTGTGTTACTGTTCACAGGAATCTATAGACCTAGATGAATAGGTTGTGGTCCTATAATTCATTCAGTGTTTTCAGTTTGACATAATATTGATCGTAATTTTGTTTATTATTATTTTTTTTAAATGCCTTGCCATTGTTTTGAAAAAAAAAAAAAAAAACATCTTGTGAAGGGGTGAAACCTATTTGCTGCCGACTTGCAAACACTGTGTGCTCTGCTACCTTCGTCCTACCAATGTGCCTTTGATGTAAAAAGTTTGGAAAGGCTTCCGCTATCTTCACTTGGTTTCAAAAAGTACAGCATATGTTTTCTTCAAACCATGTCAGATATTCCAGGGATATACATTGTTTCTGAAGCAAAGGCCATCTAAGAGCTCAATACTTGGTTAGGGTATTGCAAATATAATTTGCAATTTAAAACTAGAGGAGAGACTTCTTTGATCATTTTTGATCAGTATATTTGTTCAGTGTTTAACATCACTCGTTTGTTCGAAAAAATAAAATAATCAAAACTCTTTGCATCATGGTTGGTACCCTTTCTTCCATCAAGGTTATCTGTCGCAAATCTATGATTGACATGTTCATGAGAGCAAATCTATCATTTAATTTTTTTCTTAATGAATCAAATTGCTGTAGTCTGTTTGCTGGCTTGGTGTGTCATGGAAACCCCCTTTAACTGAAGTTATCAAGGCTAACCAAAAGTGGTTGCAGTATATACACGTAATCAACCTTGTCTTAAAGGGATAGATCACCTTTTATTAACACCCACATGCTGTTCCAAACCTGTATGATTTTCTTTCTTCTGTTGGACTCAACAGAAAACCCCCCAACTTTAAAGAGCATTTAAAGCGGTATACATTATCAGTCCTTGGTGTGGACACCAAAATAATTATCGGTATAGTTACCGTTATAGAGGCCTTTAGTGACCCGAGAACAGGAACGACATTAAGTAAATGATGGAATTTTCAATTTTGTCTGAACCATCCTTTTAATAAGCTGTCTTACACTGTAAAGTCACATTTATCATGGTCACTATCTATGTCTCTTTATAGTTTTAGAAAATTGTGCCTTCATATTTCATTATTTTTACTCAGCAGAAATTACTGCATTTATGGCCGGTTTCACAGACAAGGCTTAATATAGTCCCAGACTAAAATACATTTTTGAGCTGTTGCAAATGAAAGCAACTTGCAATGGCATATCTTAAAATATGTCACTGCCATTATTTTGTCTCAAGATGCACACCATAATATTTTTTCTAAGGGATGTTTAAAAAAAGCTACTGAAATGTCCTTTTTACGGCCTAATCCTGGCTTAATCCAATCCTTGTCTGTGAAACCAGGCCTTAATGTTTTCTTGCGTCAGTACCTGTTCAAAATCATGTGACAGATTACATCTATTATGTATGATTTGTCAGCATGACATCCTATCTTGCCTTGCTTCCTCAGCATTACAGAGATATTTCATGAATGTTAGTGACATCATTCAGTAGCCTGCCGTATTCCCAGAGGTGAATCAATCCTCTTCTACCGCGAGTCTGGAATACCAGGATGGACACAGGGAGACTCCCATTATAAAGGAATTTTGTACTTTAGTGCCATATATGGAGTTTTTGATATCAATCACGGCCAAGAAAGGGGGAAAGGGGCGTGACTCGCATTAAGCGTGTGTTCTGATTGGTCGCGAGGTAAACAAGGGGAAGTTCTGGACATAACATAGGCTAATATAGGAAAAGACGACAAAACTACCAAACTTTACCGAACTCTTTCTTTCAGTTCTCGACAATCTGTTTTGAAAAGTATTCTGCTCTTGTTGCTGACAATGTCTTCGCAGTTCAACAGAGGCCCAGCATACGGGTTTTCAGCGGAAGTGAAGAGCAAGGTACGTGGAATAATTTATAAACTATTTCAAAACCTTCGTTAAAACGCATACATATTTTGTTTGGCATATTGTATCTTATATATGTAACGGAAATCTTTCTCATTCTGATGAATTCAAGTGTAGGCTATCAACAAATGTTTCAGAAACTTCTTGTTGTGTTAACATGTAACACGTGTAACGATACAAGGTTATATCAATTGTGCTGCATATCAAATGTAATGCATATTTAATTAACGTTGTACTATTTACTGGCAACTAGCTGTAAAGCGAAAGTAAGTTGAGTAAAACGCAAAAGAAGTCACGGAAACGGCAAAGAAAGTTCTCAAGAAGCTCTTGGGGCGTTGCCTCAGTCCTCAAATATGTCATTGTGATCTGGCCTGACTGAAAAAAAAAAACTGCCGCTGGTTATTCACATTCCTCAAAGGTGTTGTGTTTGTAGCACACACAGTATCGGTTAGCAGCCCTGACATTACCCTGACCGCCAGATTTATGGTGATAGAAAGTTCTTTAATTTCCTATATTTAGGTAGCCTATTACATATTAAGACATGCCTGCGATTAACTGGCTCACCTACATGTTTATTGATGCAATGTAGGGCATTGAGTGATCATGTAGATCTTATTTAAATAACGAGCACATATAGCCTGATTATAGAATGATTAATGGCTGATGTCATATTAATCTTTCCACTAGATTGCACAGAAATATGATCCCCAAAAAGAAGAAGAATTACGAGTTTGGATTGAGGGCATCACTGGGCGGTCAATCGGAGATGACTTCCAGAAAGGGTTGAAAAATGGTGTAATACTCTGCGAGTAAGTTTTAACTTGTGTATGATTTATGTAACTCCCAATTAAGTCTTTTCAAAGGCTATTTTACAATATAACTTTGCATAACTGTCTTGATCTTTCCTTTAAGGCTTGTTAACAAACTTCAGCCAGGGTCTGTGAAGAAGATTAACCAATCGTCCCAAAACTGGCATCAGGTGAGCTGACGTTTTACGCTCCTCTAAAATGTCCTCTAAACATGGTTGTCTAATGTGTTCACTTAAATTTCGGATAAGATTATCTTTTGTAGTAGAAATGAACCTCCAGCATGAGGGTTATGTTTCGTCTGTTCACATTCAGCTATTTTATTTTGTTGCAGCTAGAGAACTTGACCAACTTCATTAAAGCGATCACCACCTATGGACTCAAACCTCACGATATTTTTGAGGCCAATGATCTGTTTGAGAATGGAAATATGACACAGGTTCAGACCACACTTCTGGCTCTTGCTGGCATGGTAGGCGCTATTGAATGATATAATTTCACAGGACAATAGCCTAACTGATTTGATTTCAGTCTGTAATTAATTACATATTCTTACTGTTTACAGGCTAAAACCAAGGGCATCCACTCAAATGTAGACATTGGAGTGAAATATGCAGAGAGGCAGGAGAGGGCTTTCGATGAAGAGAAAATGAAAGCTGGGCAATGTGTCATAGGACTACAGGTATGGATGAATTTTGTACAAGTTTCCGTCATTCTCTTCAATTATCTGAATAGAATTTATTCACAATCTGTAGTCCAAAACTCGTATGGCTTGATCTGGAAAGCTTGTTATATACTGTAGCTTGTGTGCTGTCTCTTAATAGATGGGAACAAATAAATGTGCAAGTCAAGCTGGAATGAATGCCTACGGTACCAGAAGACACCTGTATGATCCCAAGTCACATATTCTACCACCAATGGACCATTCAACCATCAGTCTTCAGATGGGCACTAACAAGGGTGCTAGCCAAGTGAGTACCACCCCCCATGATATTGCTCATTTTCTCTTATTACTATCTCATTCTGATCAGTATTGTTTTTGTGTAAGTTTTTCGCTACTTGAAATAACTCTTAAATATAAATGAAAGTTATAAAAATGACAAAAACATAAAAATACTTATAATTAGTATTTATAATTAGTTAAGTAGCTGTTTGTGATTCGTAAACGGTCTGCAAAGTTTTTAAGTGCACAACAAATACAGTTAATGCCTCCTAAAATGGCTTCTTGTGGGACATTAAAAAGTCTGAAATTAGAATCTTACATTTTTATTTTTTTCTTCTGCTAGGCATTACATTAAGATAAGGTCTTACATCTGATAAAAAAAATAAATGTTTTTGGCTGTGTAGTGCTGGTTGCATAAACATAGCCACTATGTTAAGACTAAAGAACTAAATTGGCCAACTTAAAATTAGTCAAGAGGTAAACAGTCTTACTTTTCTGATTCAAATTAGACTGATCTACCTTTTTATGTAACTGATTTTATGTAACTGATGTTAGCACTAACTTTTAAGACTAGTCAAAGCAGTTTATGCAATCAGCCCCAGGTCTTTGGAAGTAGCCTACCCAGTTTGCAACTCGTATGTCTTTTTACGTAGTGCGTCACAGTGCACGCTTCACCAGAGATGAGTCAGAGAGGGTGGCATAATAGGGTCACTTTAAACTAAAGTTATAATGAAGACTGAAAATAAAGATATAATAAAATGGTTCTGCATCTGATCTCTTCCTTCTAGTCTGGTATGACGGCTCCAGGGACCCGCCGTGCCATCTACGACCAGAAAATTGGCACAGACAAATGCGACAACTCCACAATGTCTCTACAAATGGGCTACACTCAAGGCGCCAACCAGAGCGGGCAAAATTTTGGGCTTGGCCGTCAAATCTACGATGCCAAATACTGCCCCAAAACTGCACCCGATGCAACAGGAGAAGGAGCTGATGCTGTTGGCTACACAGATTACCAAGACGAGGGCTACCAGGGTTATCAGGATGACGGTCAAGATTACTGAATTGACCAATCACAGGCTATGAGTCTGAATAAGAAGCTAAAGGGAAGTGTTTACTTCCTTGTAAAACAAAAGACAGAAAACATGAAAGTGACCCATATGAAACATATCACTTACTTTTAAACTTTATCAATATTATTTTTATAAACGGTATGTTTGGTTCATTTGAAACGAGAGCCCAACAAAATTTGTTAAGTGTTATGCGTGTTATTTTTTGTGTAATTTTATATAAAAACGTTGATCTTAAAATGCAAGTGTGACGGGGTTATTGTAAAGTTACATTTACATAATCCCAAATGTGCTTTCTTGTGAAGAAATTTGATATTAAGTATGGACGAGAGAGCGTTACGCGAGTGTTTCATTTATTGAATATAGAATATAACATGCTCTGGGTTTAAAAATCACTCTTCTTGTCAGTTGAGCATGTGAAGGATAATTTTTGCTGTTACAGTTGAAAGATGCAAGTTAAACTGCTTAGGGTTTTGATGTGGTGAACCTTTACTGGAGTCATGTTGTCCATTTAGTTAATTTAAGACCTTACTTTCCCAGTAATTTTTATTATTGTGTTTTTAGAGACACTTAGAGCACATTTTTGACATGCACAAAAAGAAAGAGGTTCTCTTATTTCAGTAGCATTTGAGTCAGTGTCTGCTTTTGACATTCTAAAGATTCTACTTCCTCAGTTGATGTGAGGAGATAATATGATATATGTTACTGTCTCACATACAATCTGTATTGTTTTTTTAAATAGTTAATCTTTGTATTAGTGTCTCATTTTACATCAAATATTTTACTTTTTGTAGAGCCAGAACAACTGGAGCATGTCTTGTTTTCTTTGGATTATAGTATTGTAAATGGAAATTGAAGTATAATATTGTGAGCCTTGAACATTCCAAATTAGGAACTGGATTCATTATTTTCATTCCACAGTATTTGTTCTCATTCCAAAAGGCTTTAACCTTTTGTACTAGACATTGGAAAATTTTAGGTCTGCTTTTTCCCCCAGCTTTCTCGTGGAGTATCATGGTTAGATGAATGCAGTAAGTGTTGGGTTTATAATAAAAGATGATGAACAAGAGATACTGTTGTCAAGATTCACTTAATTGTATAGACATTTGCTCTCTGATGTATATAACAAAGCTAGTATTTAATTTTCAGTCCTAGAGGAAGAAAACATTTGAAAACACTTGCTTACTTCCCAATGGAAATCCGGGATCCATTAGGTCCGATCGGAAAAATGATCAAGCAAGCAGTGTTGAGTCAGATAATGAAGCTGATGTACTAGATCCTCAGACAGGAGCAGGGCCCACTAATATCCTTAATGGTACATAATAAATCTGGGGTTCGAGGAAGAGGAGACTCGCCTTCAAAAATTGTTAAATTACCTAATACTGCCATCATCGGGCACTGAGTGAAAAGAGTGCCGACGTTATGACGTCACTTTGTAGTACAACTCGGAAGTTTCGATCCCTGATCGAAAAGCTATGCATTTTCCCCACAGACTTTTGGAAAATCGCAAAAAATAAGATCTGTGTTCAACAAAAAGTTGTGACCCTTACACGTTTTGTCTATCAAGATAATCTTTACAAGTTAATCCAAAATGTATACATTTTAAGTCTATCTAAAGTTTAAAAAACCACAAGCAGACACAATTACAGTAAAAAACACACACACACACACACACACACACACAAAAAAAAACACAAGCAGGTTATAACTGGTGTGTTTTATGTCATAGATCAAAACGTGAAAATATTTAGAGGCTTTGTTAACCACAGACCTTTTTCAGGAGATTTAGCAAAAACCCATTAAAAAAAAAACCATAAGGAAAACGGACGTGCTAAAATGCACATTTTGGCCTACAACGTGAGGTCATAACTAATTTTTTAACAAAGGGTAATATTTTTTTAAATTCTTTTTTTAACAAAAGGTAAGGATGTACTTAACCCGTGGAAAGGGCTGACTGCCAAACTGGAGGTTAAAATTTTATTCAGTTCACATTTTCAAGTTGACCCTCTTTTATGTAATCTGGTAATTGTTAATTAATGCATTAAACCGATGTTAACTAATGGAACGTTTTAGTTTTACCAATACATTAAATAAATATATTTTTACTGCGAGTCTTGAATGAAAATTACGTATTTGTCGCTTGTGCACCAGGTGGCGCTGCTTAACAAGGTCTCACCAGTTTCTCCGGTTCTCGCCAGTTTTTGCTGCCTGAGGTTGAGATTTTTTTATAGCCTCACTTTGTCGACACATAGCAGATTTGTGCTTGTAAGTCCTTCGCCTCTTCTCAAACAGCCCTGCTGTGAGCTTGTCAAGGCTCTCTTCTTGTTAATGAAATGCTACATTCCATGTTGACACGCCGCTCACCTCCCTCACGCTTCAGACTGATTTACCTTCATGTCTCCTGTTGAAGCAGGTAACCTGTCACACAGACAGCATTGTGCAAACATTATATTAATTACACAGGTAATCTGTGCATTTTTCTCCTTAAAGGGCCTCTTTTTCTCCTTAAAGGGCCATTTTTCTCCTTAAATAATCTCCTCACGTCGTTCCATTTTTTTAACAGCAAAAATATGTCTCACATAAAAATGAGCTTTAACCATTTAAAACAACTACTTTTCTTATTAGTTAAAAATTAATAAATGTATTTGCAATGTATTAGTTTTCGCCTTCAAGTTGGGGGTTGCAAAAAATATTTGAGTGAAATACAAAATAGATAACATAGGCTAAAATAAAATTTTAAAACAACTAAACTACTATTATGATTAATGACCATCAAATGTTATATCGGAATAATATTTGTTCTTTGGTATGGTTCTGCTTCAGTGGCTCTAAACAAAGTAGATACATTCATGGTACAGGGCAGGATGACTGTTGAATGGCGCTTTTAAAAATCATAATGGCTGTACTATGACGAAACATGTCTTTATGTTTGTGCAATGGCCTCATTTTCTGTTGGTTCTGTAATGCTCTTAATCACTCCATGTATACTGTACAGTGTCCTTTCTATGACACTCGTCATTTCCACTTGACCCGTGGTAATTCATAAGCTTTTGTCAATATGAAGTGCACAATCTTGTTGCCTTTAAACCTGTGAAAGTCAACAGCATCTTATTTATTGTAAACCAGAATTTCAAATGTAGCACATTACAATGTTTCTATGAATCACAGCTAAAAAGGTGATAAGACAGTTGTTCTTTTCTTAAACCGAAAAGCACTTGAGTGTTAAATACACTAAACTCATCTAGAAGTAAGTAACTGAAAGCACATTAGTGACGACTTCTTTCAGGTGTGAAACATTGAGTGTGACACGGAAGCCAACACAACTTAGTTACTTATAGGCAAGTCAGAAGAATAAGCTGATTTCCGCTAAGTAAGGTTCACGTGTGTTTAACCATATGGCAACACTCCTGTAGGAACATTCAAGGACATAGTATTTTTTTCCTATGATAAAAGTTTAATTTTGGTTTAAAAGAAATCACAGCATTTCAGCTGTATGGATGTCTTACAGGCATATTTGCAGCCATCTGCTCAAATTTGTTGCCCTGTTTCTTGTCTCTAGGGCTCTGTGTAAGCTCGAGCACCGTCAGGACATTCCAGCATCACCTGCCGTGTAGATAAACGCAACCCTCAGGTCTGATAAGAGCTGCGTACATCTGCTTAGCACTTCATACTGAACTGATCTCAACCAGCCCATTCACTTTGCATTGACAGGGTGTTTGTGTGTAGCGCAAGAACTTCAGTGACACAGAGTTTGTTTGTTTTTTAAATAAAATCTATTTTTATTGGTCTCTTCAAGACCAAACATTTTTTTCATAAAAACAGTAACAAAAGTAACATAAATTATAAGCAAAAAGATAAAGAAATACATCATGATTTTTTGTACAACACTTAAATATTATGGAAATCAGAGCATGCCCGTTTAGAAATTGGCAAGAATACAGCTGTAATGCTATGAAAAAAAAAATATTTACAGAAAAGTGACAGCTCGAGACATTTAAAAGCAGTCAATGTGACTGAGAAAATAAATCTCCACAGGAACTCCTCATTTGATTTCAAAACAGGAAAATACACAAGTAGCCTCAGATCATTTAAGCTTTTGAAAGACAGCGTGTGTACCAGGAAATAACTTCCACGTTTGGATACTGGAAATAAGTTGATGTGCAACAAATCTTTCAATGTTCTGCAGATCTACTAATGCATGTCTTTGTCTGTGGATAATGCCTTAAGATAAATAGTGCCTTTACAATAAGCGATCTTAAAGGTACTGGCTCAAGCTTAAGTAGCTTATTTGGTCCGTATTTTAGTGGTAAGGTTATTTAATTTCTTCCCCAAGCCTTTTAGTTAGGGGAAGCACTTGCAATGGTGCCTAACCATCAGGTCTTGTGACGTCACCCTGCCAGATTTGTCTAAACATGTAGCAGATCCTTACAGTGGCCTGCACCATATAACACATGCTGCTGCTTGCAGAGTTCCAGGCACATTTAATTCTTTCCAGTCTGATTAAATAAAAGAGCCTATTTTTGCACGGATTGGGATTTGAGTGTCCACCACATGCATGATTCAGACATCGTCTGTTATAACAAGACACTCCTAAGAGTGCTTTAGACCTTTTCAGCACCAGTATGTTATTTTGGCAGGTTACGAATGGTGGTTTCTCCTCCCACGTCATTGGTTAAGGTCTCGTGCGTGATTGATTCAGACAGCGGACATCCTCTATGACTTGTTCTCGATCTCGACGGGCGCAATCATCATGGTGGTGGTTTTCAGAGGGTAGTAGCGGCCACGCCAGGTTTTCCAGAACACTCCTTGTTTTCTCTGGTGCCTTTGCTTTGGCGCAGGAGTAACAAAATACCTGCCGTTTAGGTTTGAGCGACCACAGTTGCTAAACCACCAACCACCTGGAAAGCCAAAAAGGAAATCTATTAAAATGACAACATCACCCATAGAAAGATTTAATTTATGGCCAACGTCGTCGTGATGTTACCTGATAGCTGTTTGGCACAGTTGAGGTCATTTTTCTGGTCGTTGTCTTTGTCGCGGGTGGAGAAGGGCACTCCGGAGGTTTCGGTGGACAGAGAGCTCTCCAGGTTCCCAGCATGCCTCTCCAGAATGCGCAAGGAATAGTTGCTCTCCTCACCGTTCAGATGGAAAGGGTAGTTGATGCTCTGAATCTCATCCCGCCAATCAGAAAACTGAACTTTGAGGATGTAGTTGCCACTTTTGGACACAGAATGAATCTTCTCCAGGCCAAGCCAGAACTCACCTGAAAGCGACATTCAAGAAGGATATTTAAAAGACTGGTCTAGGAATAGGCCAGGAGATTTAGTCACCCTGCAGTTAAATAATCTAAAGGCATTAGGGATACAGGATTTAACGATGTTTCCTCTCCAGCCGGGTTGATCTGATCCTCTATCCTTAATCTGCCACTCTACATCCATTATTAGTAGGTAATCACTTTGGCTTGATCAAGGTCTACTGACAGAAGTGGCTGTTTGCTCTGAGCCTGTTGCTCACATGAAAAACAGAGTTGGTTCACATTGGATTCTTACCATTGAGGCTCCCAAAGCCAGCTTGATATGCCTGCCACAGTTGATCGAAGTCTACAGATCCATCCTGGCGTCTCTGGATGACCGTCCATCCTCCTTCTGTGGATTCAAGCACAAAACAAAAGGTTTAAAAGCTGTTCTCCTGCGTGATATTTTGGTGGTGGTTGTGGGGGCTGGGGTGGTTGGGGCAATATGCGACGTGTTTTACCAACAAAGAAGCTTTAGATCAAATAAAAGTACCACCTACCGGGTGTCATTTCGCAGAAGACCTCAAAAGGCGGGGAGTCAGTTGGTTGGATGGTGTACAGCCCGCTAGAGGTCTCACCCCTCAGGAACAGCTCATGACAGTCAGAAGCCATAGCTGAAAGACAAAAAACACCAAAAATATATTCACGTGTCTACAAATGACCTATATCCAAGCCTGTCTCCATACAGGGATTTTAAAGTTGGCACACAATAGACATTGCTCACACATACAGGATAAGTGTTTATCACATTGTTTAATGGTGAACTAAACCCTTATCTCAAACACAGAACCTTGAACAAGTCAACCCAAGCACACAGAAGCCAACATGGATTTTGTTTTGAACTCCAGGGCAATAGTCCAAATAGACTTGTTGTTATTGTCGTATTGGCACAAAGGAACGTTCAGTGCTATACGCATTGGCATATATTTCTTAGACACTAAAGCTTAAAGGGTGCGCTATGTAGCTCACTTTACAAACATCTGCCAAACAAAGGCAGTTTTACATGACAATTTTGGACCTGGCTTGAACAATTGAGGGTGTAAACATGACCTTTCCCCCAGTTCCCAAGCAGACTTCCCTCAATTGCCTCAGACCTCTACTAGCATTCTTTCTTCCCTGCCCCCCTTTAGTCCAGCCCTTCATGCCTCCTTCACGTGCACAGCACCCCTCTTCTGACATCACAATGCATGGACAGCGAGTGATCGGGGAATGCCGAGGCTGCTGCTGCTGCTATTTGAGGAGCAATTGCAAAGCCCTCAAGGCGCTATATGCGAGATGAGTCAGATGCCCGAAAAATAATAAGAAAAATGTTTGGTGCTGTCTATTCTCATAAAATTGGATGCAGTACTTTAACTGACTATATACATGTATACAATAAAATATAAAACATTTTTGGAGTCATATATATATACATAGTTTTCTAAAACACAGTGGGTGTATACTATTTATACATATGCATATATATAATATATTTATTTGTGTGTATCTAGGGCTCAAAGCATATGGCATTAAGTGAAGTGGTCTTTAGTCTGGCACACTTCTCATTCGTGAGATTAAAAGGGGTTGTCTGTGTGGAGGCAGGGGGGTTTGAGGGGTTGTAGTCTGGCTCTGACAGATCTAGGGTAAAGTTTACATGTTTTCTGAGAGAAATTACGTGTTTTTGGAGTGCTCTACCCAACAGGGAAAGTCTGTACAAAGTTCACTGTCCAAAAATATGCACAATATGGTTTTCACTGGATTAAAGCCAGGAAATCTAATCTGTAAAGGTACAGGATATACTATATCTGAAAAAAAAACAACAACCTCCCTTTGGTCTTGGCCAGATTTGTAACAAATCTCTGCGTGCTTGTGACCCTGAGTTAACACAGTCTGAGACTGATGAACTTGCACACAATTGGAAGAAGTCCAGGGAAACGGTTTCTTTTACAGCATTCTTTGGATCCCACTGATGTCAGAGCTCGCCATTAAAGGCCATATTGTGTTGGTTTGAATGACTGTACTGAACCATGTGTTTCTGCTAGGTTCACCTTTCACCTACTTAGAGGCAGCCATTGCTCTGAACCAGAGTTTCATATAAATGTACCATTTTCTACCCTAACACACCTACAGAATAATTATATATATATATATATATATATTTTTTTTTTTTTTTTCACGGTAAATGTTTGAGATGTTGCCTCATTTCCATGAGTCATTTTCCAAAATGTTTTCAAGTTCATTCCCCAAACTGGACATGTTCAATCAACATTATGCAGTTTATAACATAACTGTATGTGCAAAACAAGTCCTAGCATGCCTTTGACAAGGGCAAAACATCTCTTGTATGTTTTACTTCAGATGCAATTATAATATACTGTGTTATCAGACTGTTTAAGACAGAGATGGTCCACAGAAGTGAATGGGAGAATTTGATATTTAGAGCGCTCTGATTAATTTATAAATTCATGTAATTTTTGTGTTGACTGAAACAGTTTTTAAAACACAATTATGTTGTTTAAACTTACCAACAGGGGAATCTCGCTGTTCAGAGCTCGCGTTCAGATGAACTTCATCCTCCTTCAGTTTGAGAGAAGATTGTTCGTTTTTCATTTGAATCTAGTGCACATCAAATGAATTTTGAATAAGTTTGTAGTCTTAGATTTAATATGAATAACCACAATATTTTGTAGCCTACTTATATTTTGCATCATAGTATTTTTTACCTGGTTTTGGAGAGTTCGAATTCGAACATTTTGTTTATCCATTTTTTCTTGCTGTTGCTTGATGCGCTCGACTAGGTCATCAATGCGTTTATTTTGCGCCTCCAGCATCCACTGAAATCAGAAATGGTTTGAGATTAGATCAGTCTTTAATCAAACTCAAAACGGGGGCTTTTTTAAACCTCAGCAGACCGAAACGATAGTTACAGTGTTGAAAAAAAAAATCCTGTTTAACCGGTCCTGTTTAATCTTTTCAAACGATACAGCTTTTCTTCTGCATCGTTATATAACTCGCGTTATGAAGTTCGCGCAGACAATGAAAATCTAAACAGCTTGTTTATTGCTGAAACAAGAATCAAAGGGGGAACCACTTTTCTTTGTGCGGACATGAAAAACTGCTACCTTGCACGTACAGCACGGCTTTTTTGAGTCCATCACGGTGCGTGTTCACGCCCACAAACTTATCTGTTATGCGTTTGTGTTCGGGTCAGTAGTCTATTGGAGATGCAGGCTTTTCAAATCACTTTTTAACGAATCAATTTTATTCTTGTTTCGTTAATTAAAGTAAAATGCATGCAAATACACATCAAAACAAACACTACAATGCATGTCAGGCAGAGATGTGGTTAGCCTATGGCTAAAACAAAGACAAAATGCTTCACTTTCTTTTAGCCTTGAAAATAAGGTTTTTGCACATACCTGAATGACCCGGGCATCACTGTAGTTGCCGTTGGGAACTTCCAAACCCTCTCCTTGCATCAAGCCATCTACTTTTTCTTCCAGCTTATTCATTCTCTCGTGGTCCTTCTGCCTGTCTTTGAGCAGCTCTTTAGTCTTCTCCCGCAGGTCCGTGGACACGTTTAGGACCAGCCTCTCACTTTCTTCCAAACTCTGGGCTTTTGCTTTCAGCGCCATGCTGTCTTCTTGAAGCCGCTGAGTCAGCTTGCCAAGCTCGGATACGGTGACGTTGAACACCTTCATCTTAATGGTGATGTCTCTCACCTGGCCTTTGGTCTTGTCCACATGTTCTTTAAGACCCTGACCTAGCTGCAGCAACCCATGTGCAAGCACATTAACATCATCCCATGCTGCATACTGAACTCTCTTCTCTTTTCCAGCAGCAGCTCCTCTCCTCTCCATCGGGAAGCTTGACCCAGAGCTTGCCAAGACTGTGATGCATAGCAGATTTGCCAGTGGTACCTTCATCTTGCTTGTTTTGTCTTTGGTTGTCTGGTTATTCTAACTTGTAGTAAGACCGGTTTGCTGTCGCAGTATTCTGAAGAGCACAAGCTCATGCTGTTGAAGGGCTAACTTGTTTTTATACCCTTCTGAGCTGTCTAGCATGGTGTGATTGGCTGGCAATCTGGAGGGAGTGTGTGTCTGCTCAGGTTTCAGCCTCCTCCCCCAAACAGTATTTGCTTCTAATGTGGACCATGATGTAAGAATGGACACGGTTGCAACCAGAAAGCCTATCGAAATTCTCATTATGTTTTAAGATTTTTAAAATTGAGTGTATTGAGCAATTTATGTGATTCATATGTTTGTATGTGTACCTAATCAGTTTGACTTTTGATCAGCGGTTTCATTGATTATATTATGTTTAATTTAAGTTTTTCTTGTATTTGGACATTGTTTCACACAAACAATCCTATACTGCGACAATTGAGGTGTAAAGTACAATCGTACAAACCAGTATTGATTTCAGTTTGGTACTTCCCACCCACTGTTAATGTTCAATTGGTGGATATTGATAAAAATATAGAAAACTAGTTTAGAGAGAAAATATTTTGTTTCTTTGGTCTGAAAGGAAATCAGGGTTTTCCCAGTGTGAAGTCATTATTGGGGCAGAGGCATTGTGTGGAGCGACGAGGTGAACGTGCCGCAGAGGAGCGCTGTGGTCTGTTCCACTGTGAGCACAGACCACTGTGAGAATTAGGGGAAAGTTCATGCTCACAAAAAGCCAGCATTCATTAGAGCTTTCTGAATGACTACATACCTCTTCAGGTGATGCCTTAATATTTGCCTCACCCATGGAAAGCAACACTCCTATTTAGTTGTTGTTGTTGTTGTTGTTGTTGTTGATTTGTCTTGTGATACAAAATGATTAGGTGTGTATTCCAGTTAGGTGATATCAAAGTACAAGTGTTAGAGTTTACCCTGTAATATTCGAAAGCTTTTCAGGTTTTCAGAGAGAGATTTGCTTGTTTTGCAGTGTACTTTGCTGACATGAGGAAGTGGTAAGTGGAGCAGAAGCCAGAACTTGATTGTTGATGAAAATGAAATCGGTCATGACTGGAATTATATATCTAATATAAATAGGTTTTAAATGAATGCCACTTTTGCTCAAAAGTTTAGGGGCAGATTTTTTAAAAAATAAAGTAATACTTTTAATTCTTTTGATCAAAAGTGACAGTAAATAATTGTAACTTGTTATAAAAATATATTTCAAATAGTAGAAAATAATAAATAATATATTCACTCTAAAAAAATATTTTCAATGTTTATCACAACATTTTTTTCTATTGTCAAATCAACTTAAATAATTTATTTAGTTGAGATAACTTATTATTTTGAGTTTCTGATGATTTTAATAATTCACTTTTTACAGTTCAATCTACTTAAAATTATAAGACAACCAGGTTACTTAATTTTTTAAGTTAAACCAACAATATTTTTTTTACTGTGTGAAGTATCATGTGACTAAAGCCTGGAGTAAAGATGCCATCACAGGAACAAATTACATTGTAAAATATATACAACTGTCTTTTTATATTGTAATAATATCCACAGTATTGCTGTTTTTTAGTTTATCAAATGATTAGAGACTTCTTTAAACTTTTTACAAACGTACTGACCCAAACTCAGTGTTGGTGTAATTAATTACTAAGTAATAAGTTATTGTAATTTAATTACTTTTCCCTTAAAAATGTAAAGTAAGGGATTACTCTTCATTTACCTGTAATTTAATTACAGTTACTTCTGATGTAATTTAGGTAAATACTGTGTATGGATCAATCCGATCTCACAGCGATTCGTATGCATTTTATGAGGTGTCTAAATCGTACGACCGCACTCGTACAAATTCGGATGAATTATTGTAAAATATGTATTGAAAAAGTGTGAAATGTCATGAGATCAGACATAAAACAATAGAGGGTTTAACATCAAAATGTATTGTCTGATGTTAAAAAGTATGTTTTTATAATGTAACCTTCTCCACCGTGGTCAGTTTAAGGATAATTCATGCAATTTTATAGTATTTATTTGAAAGAATTAAAACAGATTCATGTCTATCCTTGTATTATTCAGATGGTTGAGATTGATATGGGATTTTGAAAGTAATTAGTAATTAAAATAATTAAATACTTTTTATAGAGAGTAATTAGTACAGTAATCTAATTACACTGTTGATGAGGTAATTAGTAAGTAATTAATTACTTTTTTAGAGTAACTTACCCAACACTGCCCAAACTTTTGAAAGGCAGTGTATGATTTGGTCATTACTCAAATGCAGAAAACGTCATCCAAACCATGCAAGTGAAATGCCTTTAAATGCCTGAGTAATCTATAGTGTGATGCATCTAGGTAAAGATTTCACTTCAATTTCAAGCCTGAAGAGTGCTTCAGAGAATTTACTACTAGTTCCAGTGCTTGTAAACCAGCTCTCAGGGTGTGTTTGCTTCTTAATGCCAATGACGTGAAGCAAGCAATAAAACAAACACTTATTGAGTTGTTTATTACCATGCACGCCTTTTGGTGGATCACTCTAATTTAATCACATAACATGTCATTGTTTTAACACCCTGTAACCGCTCTTCATAATGACGGGTCAGAACATTCGGAATGGGATTTTAATGTACGCATCATCTGCAAAGCACAGTGCGTATTCATCTCTCCTAGCCAAAGTCTTTTCAGATGCTGAGTAGCCCTGAAGTCAATGATTAGCATATGAATGACAGGGATATTCAGTATCTGCCCTCTCTACAAGTTTCCCAGAAACACTGATGACAGCAGTTAGTCATCTGCCTGAATCACATGAACCAAAGGAACAGCTGCATTTTTGACTCTAATATGCTCCCGGCATGACAACCTTTTACCTACATTCTAAATGTGTAACATCTGCATCACACTATCAAGATTTGTGAAAGAGGTGCTAGGTGAATAAGCGATGGATGTCCAAGGGAATTATAACAGCATCATTGTCGAAATAAACCAGTTTAAACAAACTTAAGAAATCTTGAAGAAATTTTGTTAATACAATTATGTTTTGGTAACCAGTTGTTAACAAAAGCATTACAGAGGTCACACTTAGACAACACATAAACCATGCCCTTGTTAGCTGTCACATGATTAACATGGGACTCTATTGCATTCATTCTCTTTTTTTGGATATCTCCTGTTAAAATATATTTGCCTTCATTTTCATTCAGTCAGAAAGATTCTGAATTGCCATATGTGATGTTGCAATGTATTGACAACACAGTAAGAGATCTAAATACTGTCTTGTTCTAGCTTTAACGAGAAGATATAGTCGTATTTTGGGTGATTGCATAGTAACAGTTGCCACCCGTCCATATACCACAAGTATGACTCGGTTTTAACACTACCTGTTTTTCAATTTTGTATTCCTCTGTATATTGTTCAGATTTCATATCCAGAGTGAGATAAACACTTGCATATGACCTGACCACGTCTGCTCTTCAGAGCTGTGTTTATTTAGAAAAAAAGTATTGTGAAATATTATTAAATTGTTTAAAATAACTGTTTTCTGTTTTATTATTAAAAAGTCATTTATTCCTGTGATGGCATGCTTCAGCATGATTACACCGGTCTTCAGTGTCACATGATCCTTTAGAAATCATTCTAATTTGCTGGTTTGCTCAAAAAACATTTTGTTATCAGTTGAAAACAGTTGTGTTGCTTAATTCTTTTTTTTTCTTTCTTTTTTTCAGGATTCCTTGATGAATAGAAAGTGAAGGCAGAAGTCAGTGTACTGGAACCATGCTGAGGTATGATTAAATGTGACTTTAAATATCCTGAGCATGACTTCAGTCATAAGAGTACTGTCATAGTATGGTTTTCCTGCATGTAGGGATTATAGTATTTCTGTGATTGTGATCTTAAGGACCGTGTAAAAACCATGTCTGATGTGTAACTACACCTGTTAATGTGGAAGGCAATCCTTTGAGACATCTTTCAGACTTTTCCGGAACAAGGGCCAATTTGATTTGTTATCACACATTGATTTCTACATGCTGCATGCTTAATAATAACGAAATGAAAGATAAAGAAACAATGAAAAGACAAACTGAAAGATAAATGATTGCTGAAACTTCTTTGCTCACAGCAGAACTCAACAACTCTAGAACAGTTTGTTCTGAGTGTACACTAAACCACATCTGGGCATGCATTCAACCACGTACGTGCTTGAAAGAAGTGGATTTTGGGACTGTCCAGAGAAAGTTCTTCTGCCTCCTTGTGGTCATATATAGAGGTTATCTCCCTTCAGCCCAAATCCCACAGATCAGCGCATGGCCTTCATCACCACCTCAAGGTCTGTTATTCAAACACTGGAAATAACACAACACATTTCCCCAACTAGAGCACATACAGGGTGAAAATGGCCTGCTGTGAATCTCTGATGTGCTTTCTGGACACATGATCGTCTTTATAGAATAATTGTGTTTCCTTTTTATTTACTTATCCCCCAAACCCCCAACCACCCTAAGTAACTTTATCTCAAGCAACAGTTAAACACTGAATAATCAGCAGAGGACAGCAGCTTGTCACCACCAGGTTATTTAAATATGACACTCTGATATAACAATGCAGCAGCTTTTGCTTATTTACATTCTGAACTTTTACAGGCATCTGATATTTTCTGTATTTTTAGTGGTGGCATTGCACTAATTTGGTTGAGCATTCATTCAGATCTTGAAAAGATGAAAGACAAACTGACTTAAAATGCATTCTTATGAGTCTAATGAGCATTCAGACTGAAATATGCACGGTGCATAGCTGAAGTGTGTAAATCATGAGACTGGGAAAGGACAGGATGTACATACTTTGCAGATGCATAAATGTCTAATCAGTTTCCAGCTGCAGCTATGTTCAGTCATACTGAAGATCCAGACAAGTTTAAACACAGGACTTTCAAGCAATTAAAAAAATAAAAAATAATATATTTATATACATATAATATATTCATATGCTGTTTGTGGAAACTGAAACTAATTCATAATTTACAAATTTGATGCATTTAGCTCTCATTATTTATTTTCTCATTCGGATGTTGGTGGCACAACTGGGTTTTATTCATGTTGATGTTCATTCACTCGCCCCAGACATCACATCTCTTTTCTTTTAAAAATAAACCATTTATCCTTTGTAATTTCCTGAGACACTTAAAGGATTACTTTTAAGGAGTTTTAACTGTGCAACACATAATACTTCTGCATAAAGGGAAATATGTATATTGTGTTAACTTTAAATAATTTTTAGATGTAATAATCCAAGTTTAATAGACTCATTCATTTAGCCATATTAATGAATATGCATTAACTGTTAACAATATAATTTTTCTTGCATATTCACCTCCGGATGCCCTGTCATTTCTAGAATCAGGTTGCATCCCGTTATGTAACATTTCTGACAGTTAAGTTTGATCGGATTCCAACATGTTATAAAACACTTTTCTAGTTGGGACCTATTTAACTTTCAGAACATCTGCTATAGGCAACCCCCTGTGATTTTAAATATAAATAACATTAGGAAATTGTTAACCTTTCATTCCCTAAGGAGTCCTAGACAATAAAACAAACTGAGAACGGGGAGCGTGCATGCAGTGCATTTTTCCATGATCTTCAAAGATGATATGCCACATGTCTATACATATTCCCAGAAGAAGAAAGATATTTAACTCTGTGGGAACTGTTTCTAAGAGAATAATGACATGGGATATACAGAAAATGTAGCCTACGTTAGCCTATATCCTCACACATTGGCCCCTCTTTCAGATAACTATAAGATTTAGCCGAGCATCTTTTTGTTAACTTGCGTTCAATAAATTTAGATGCTATGTTTATATATCTATATTTTCTTTTTATACACTGTGTACTTTCAAATTTTGCTCTGCCAATCATAATTGTTCCTAACAAATCCAAAGCAGAATCAACCATCAGGCCTTTAAGCAATGCACAGTAGAGTCTCTTTCCTGAATGAAGCATGTAAATCAGTTGATTCAACGACTCACTCACATAAGCCGTCACAGTGATATTGTTTGATTCCGTAATGAATCAGCGTTTTGAACAAATCCATTGAAAGAATGATTCACTCATAAACACTCATTAAATTGTTGTCACCTACTGGCGTAACAATGTAACCTGCAGAAAGTCACTGAAAAATCTCCACTGCTAATGACAAACCTGCAGACAAGCGGTTGTGGAATAATAGACACAGTACACTTTTAAACAATCTAATTTATTTGATTTATTGAGTCTTCCCATCAGAACTTATGCTATAAAGCTTTCATTTATTGAAATAATGTGGTTTTTGTTTCCAGTCTTATGTAACATTTTTTTGTGCCTACTGCCGATGACCTGTACTTGAAATCAAAACAGAGCGCCAGCAAACATTTTATTATGCATGTCCAGACACGGTTAAATAACTAAATTACTGCAACACTTTATTATTTATTATTATTAAACTCACAAATTATTATTTCATTATCATTCATTCCTTTTAAAACACACATAGCAGAGTTGTGCCTAAAGTTATAAACTGTAAGTGATCTAAAGCAATAACAGTAAAGTCTAGATAACAGACTTGTTTTCCAGAGATAAAACAAGCATGTCTTTTTTTAAGGCCATGTATTGTCTAATCTGGCTTGTTTTTTAGTTCTCAACATTAGAATGGTCACCATAACATCAGAAGTGGCCTTGAACCTTCCCTTGTTTCAATTCTGTTGGCTTAGCTTGGTAAAAAACATTGTGTTGTCATCTTAAGAAAAACAATACTGTTCTAAGATTAAATAAATATTTTGCTTAAGTAACATGTTAATGTCAACTATTGGTGAAAAGTTTGGGGTTGGTAAGTTTTTTTTAATGTTTTTGAAGGAAGTCTCTTCTCTTGTGCTCGAGCCCGTTCTCAAAAAGCGTAAATATCCAACGCACATGGCACCCTTTAACGTGAAATGAGACGCAGATATATTTGGGCAGAAGGCGCCCCCTAGTGGTCTACCCTTACCCTACACCATACCTAAACTTAACCATAACCGAAGCGTCTCATTAGACGTTAAAGGGTGCCATGTGCGTTGGATATTTACGCTTTTGCAAAAGCGTCCTATATGGCGCTTTGGGATGAGAATGCGTTGTGTGCTCATCAAGGCTGCATTTATTTGATCACAAATACAGTAAAAACAGTAATATTGTAAAATATTAGTACAATTTAAAATTATTTTAATATATTTTAAAATGTAATTTAGGACAATTCCTGTGATTGTAAAGCTGAAATTTCAGCACAATTACTGTCACATGAAAATTATTTGCTGTTTAATGATTTTTTGATGAATAGAAACTTCTACTACTAAAAATCTGCTAATACTCTTTTACAGTAGTGTACTTGGAAGAGCCTTCAAAGATCAGGGCCCATTAGAAATATTATTTATTTATTAATTTTTTTGCAAAAAGTTTTATTCAAAGGTCTTTTTCTGCACTTTTTCTGAGGTCAAAGGTTGCTCCACATGTCTTACAGTAACCTCAGTCCTCTGTGAAAATGATTAAAACTGTCCTTGGGGCCTTCGCTACTCAAAATGAACATCATAAACATGGGTCAGTGACAGAACCAGGAGCAGTAAATCAGGGTCAACCGTCTCCTCTCTGACCCAAGTGAAACTCAATGCTCCAGTGACACAGTGTTGTTATTCAACAGATGTGGAGGCACAGCTGCTCTACTTACATTGAACATAGGTTATGTGTCTTAGATGCAACAGGTCAGGGTCGATTCTCACAGTAGCACAGTAATCCAAAAAATAAATTAAAAATTCAGATTTTCATCATCATTGGAAAGAATATATATATTGCATGAGCCTATTTGATAATCAGGAATAACAGCACAAAATATTTAATCTCTAAATATAATATAAGCACTAAATAATACAAGATCAATTGCTTCCTGTATTTGGGTGATTCTTCAATATGGTACTCTTTGAGCTAGACAATTTCAGAAAATAAAACATTTCTACAAACAGTTTTTTAGTATCAGTTGGTTTCTCAATCTGTCTAGAAACCTTCCCTTAAGTTGGGTGCAATGATTTGTATTAAATAATATATATATATATACTGGCATTTTTATCTGACAGCCCATAAAAACGCCCAAGTTCTCTTATTTACCTACAATATTGTAGCAATAATAAATAATAAAATATTTCTTACTACCTTAATTAATTGTATGTTTTTTTTTTACATTAACGTTTTAGTATTATAGCCCAAAATAATTTGCTGTTTAGCAAGAACAATGTCATTTCCATCACAACCTGTCTTTACCACCACAATGAACACCGTGGTAGAAATGACTGTGGTGGAAATGACATTTCCCCACTTTTCCTCTAAAATATCTTGCTATGTTAGCCAGTTAGCATTAAATATAAACAAATTACACATTATTAAATTAATTTTATCCAGTTATTTTTACGTCCATGTGAAATATGAGCCGTTTGGAAATGACGGCCAATAAACATATTCTCAGTTTAAGTCATATTTACCTTGATTTTTCTTCTTTTCGTTACTCCCTAAAAAGGTCACCCTTTCACCCAGCCATGTGTTCACTGTGGAGTTTCTATTGCTATGGTTAGTAAGTATACAAACCTAAAACAATGATCCCAGGATTCTATTTTGTACAGTGTGGTGGAAATGACAGTGAACCCAAGGGACAAGGGTTATGAAAAATACAAGAAAATGTGAATAAATATTTGTATATATAATATGTATAATGGGCTTTATGCCCAGCTGCACTACTTCCTGAACTTCAGCCAGCTCCTTGTTTCCTGTCTGCCATTATTGGCCAAATTGATTAATTCAGGTGTACCTGACCTCAGTAGTCATGGCAACAATAATCAGACACACCTGAATTAATCAATTTGGCCAATAATGGCAGACAGGAAACAAGGAGCTGGCTGAAGTTCAGGAAGTAGTGCAGCTGGGCATAAAGCCAATTGAAATAGACATTATTTATAATTTGTACGTGAAATCTACATCATTTAAATGTTTAATTTAGAATTAAGCGAGGTTGAAGGTACAAAGTCTGGCTTAGGGACAGGGGGGAAACAGTAAAAATAATGCATAAAAGGCCTCACATTATATAATAAAAGGAATGATTGAGCCATGATACATTTTTATAAGTTCCCCTTAAGGTGAAGTATGTCTGACAAAAACAAAAAAGAAGAAATCTTTTTTAGATTTTATTATTTCATCCAGGGACAAGAAAAGTACCATAGTTAAAGAATCACCCATTTATTCATTGTACACCATGAGGGTGTTTACTGCAAATGACAAACACTGGTGTGTGTGTGTGTGTCCGACAGTCACCCCTGTTTTTTCCAGCTGAGAGAAAGATGAGACCTCAGGGACATAAAGGCGGGGGGATTTGCATCCGGGTAAACATGTCTGCATGTATCTTCTGTGAAGACGCCTTCATATCAGATCACAGTGAATATGTAGAGTTACAATAGGCTAAATCTCCCCATTTCCACAACAGTTTTTCTTTTCAGATATTGGATGAAGTTCAACGAAGCAACAGTCGTTGGGCAAGGGGTGCCTTGGGGTGGTTTGGGGTGGTTTAAGGGGTGGTTTGAACTCGTTTTATTAAGAATACAGTTCATGTTTAAAAAATAAATCGGAAACAGAATAGTTCAATTGAGCATGAAGCGCATTGTGGTTATTTCAAAGGTTTCCAATAAATAGCTTCACAAGCTCAATTTATATTTGATGATATGAATGTTATTATTTAAAAATATTATTCTCTATATTAAATAAATTATGTCTGTATGTAAAATATCAAATGTGAGTGTCAGCAAACACTGCTGTGCCAAACGAATTCTATAGTGTCTTCTTAAATCTCCAAATTAGGTTGAAATGACCTACTTTGGTCTAGTTAAAC